TATATACTTTATTGACTTCAGAGAGGAAGAGAGAGATAGAAATATCAATGATGAGAGAGAATCATCAATTGGCTGCCTCCTGCATGTTCCCCTCCCCACCGGGATTCAGCTCGCAATCTGGGCATGTGCCCTGACTGGGAATTGAACTGTGACCTTCTAGTTTGTAGGTTGATGCTCAACCACTGAGCTATGGTAGCCAGGCTATATACAATTTTCATTTGTCAAGAATACCACAATAAAGCTGGAAAAATAAAATATATGCTGATTTTGAAAGTGAATAATAGGATTAATAAAGGCTGAGACCTATGTTCATTTTATATGTTTCAGAACCAAAAAGTGGACAGAGCCAGAAATGCTTTAGAATGTCTTAAATTTCTCTTACTTATATATTATAATAGAAAAATAAAGCAAAACATTGACTAATTGTTCTTATTACCTGCTTGCTCCTCATATTAAGTTGAGGGAAAACAGAATTAAAAAATTTGAGTTGGCTAACTAGCAAACCAATGGGTCAGAAACATGGAAATAAAAACAGTTGTTCTTTCTGGAAATGGGGTATGTGGGTGGTTCTCAACCACTTTGTCCATTGCTTATTGGTTTGCACAATCCGTTGTTAGGAAACATTAAAAGTTCACAACAAAACTTGCAAAACCTGTCAAAAGTTTTTAAAAAAATCTGTTTAAAATTTTCTGCATCTATTCAAAATGAGGGGGAAGCATATTCCAAATGAAGTTAAGAAAAAGCTTTAACTAGATGTCACCCCACATTTTTCATTTCTGCCTGAGGGAAACAGTACAAATAGCCTGGACATTATTCTCAGAACTTTAGTGAAAGTCATGTTCATGTGTGAGCTGAGGACAACCCCCCTGCTGCTCAGTTCCTTAGCTGAGTGAATCACACAAGTTCAGTGGTCCATGATGCATCAGATGCCATCAGGCAAAAAGATGAAACAGTGTGGTGAGTCTTAGATTTACTGTATTATTGCGGCCCAAAGAGCTAAGGTACAGTTTTATTGGGGGGGAAGCTATATCTAATTTTGGTAAATCTGATATCAATTTCTTTTGATGGAATGAAAATATCGACCAAATTATAAAAATTTCAAAATAAAAAATATAGTTTACTCATTTAAAAAATTTGAGTACCATATAGTTTGGTAATGGTTTACAATCAGAGATATAAGTATGTAATTTTGCATAAATGTTTTTTTTATTTTAAGAAATAGTTAATTATATTTTAAAATAACATAATTATGTTCAGTATCATATCATGCCTCAAATTATGTGGGTTTCCATTGAGATTGACTTAACTAAGTCATTTTACTTATTTTTCTTTCCCCTTTTCAATTAGCAAGTGTTTCTTTCCGCTTAAATACTGAGTGTACAAAGGTGATTAGAAAGAGGTGTTGATTCCCAGGAGAGCATTTAGGAAAGTCTAAATGATGCAATATAGAACATGAGCATTTTCTACTGCAGCTCACTGTACGTACTTGTTCTGAGTGTGTTAATGAAAGAAGCAAAGATAGGTTTGGCTCAGTGGATAGAGCGTCGGTCTGCGGACTGAAAGGTGTCAGGTTCGATTCCGGTCAAGGGCAAGTACCTTGGTTGCGGGCACATCCCCAATAGGGGGTGTGCAAGAGGCAGCTGATCGATGATTCTCTCTCATGGATGTTTCTAGCTTTCTATCCCTCTCCCTTTCTCTCTGTAAAAAATCAATAAAATATATTTTAAAAAAAGAGAAAGAACTAAAGATAGAAAGCGTAATGAGCGAGTGAATAATTGTAGCCACTTGTCATTTCTTCTGTACATATTAACTTTTCTATCAGCCAGTTTTCATGATTAAGTAAATTACTTCCTTCTGCTCACCAAATCTGAAAAATTAATTTTCAAATATATAAACCAATTGAAAAACTTAAACTTAGGAGAAATTATTATTTTTATTTATTTATTTTATTGATTTTTTTACAGAGAGGAAGGGAGAGGGATACAGAGTTAGAAACATCGATGAGAGAGATCGTCAATCAGCTGCCTCTTGCACACCCCCTATTGGGGATGTGCCTGCAAACAAGATACCGTACATGCCCTTGACTGGAATCAAACCTGGGACCTTTCAGTCCATAGGCCGATGATCTATCCACTGAGCCAAACTGGTTTTGGCAAACTTAGGAGAAATTATTTAAAAAATCAATTCATCACTACTATCCAGCACTCTCTGTAGTAAAACAAACACTGAGGAAAATCGAGAAATCCAGTGACAGTACTCTGAAACCCCTGGTGTACACAATTTAATACCTATCAACTCCTTGAGTGTGAGCAGAATCTGTGAACATGATGGTATATCACCATGGGAGAATCACCAAGGTAATATCTGTATTCATTTCTTATAGCTGCATAATAACTTACCATAGACTTAGTAGCTTATAGCAATTCATTTATTATGTCACTGTTCTGTATGTAGGAAGTACAGGCACAGCTCAGCCAGATTCACTGAGGGTCTCGCAAGGCCGAAACTTCAGTGTGAGCTGGGACTTCAACATCATCTGAAGTCAGGGGTACTCCTGTAAGCTAATTTAGGCTGTTAGAAGAATTTAGTTTCTTGTCCCAGCCAGAAGGTAGCTCTCATGAAAAGCGATCCTTAGGTCTTAGCCAATGTGGCCTTCTTACAACATGGTAGCTTCCTTCTTCAAGGTCCACAGGAGAATCTCTCAGACTTCTGGCAAGAGCTCACCTTCTTAGGTCAGGCCCACTCAGCACAGTCTCAGATTAGTCCCTCAAAGTCAGCTGATTAGGAATCTTCACTGCATTGCAAAATTCCATCAACTTTGCTATGTAACAATCTAATTATGGCCATATCATGGGAATATCATCTGGGAATATTTGGCTTGTGGTGAATAATTGCTTAAAAGACCTCATTGTGGCCTGGCCGGCATGGCTCAGTGGTTGAGCATTGATCTATAAACCAGGAAGTCATGGTTTGATTCCCAGTTGGGGCACATGTTTGGGTTGTTGTGGTCTTGATCCCCAGTGTGAGGTGTACAGGAGGCAGCCGATCAATGATTCTCTCTCATCATTGATGTTTCTATCTCTCTCTCCCTCTCTGAAATCAATAAAAATGAAAAAATAAATTAAAAAAGAGCTCAATGTGAACATGACCCTATAAAAAATTACTGTAAAATTTTTATAATCATCTATATAAAATTTACATTTTATGTAACTTTATAAGTACTTTGTAAATATTCTGCACCCTTTTATTTTCACAACTACTTGTCAGAGAGGTACAGTAAGTATAATCCAATGCTACAGGTGAGAAAAAAAAAACAAGCTCAAAACAGCTAAGAGACTGACCATAGCTTTTTAGAAAATTAGTAGTGGAGCTGGGCCTTTTCATTCCAGTCCTCTTTTTTGCTAATCCTGTAGTTTTCAAATTGTGTTTGGTGAGGTTCCAAGAAGACATTTTAGGGATTACTGCACAAATCGAGGGTGGCACTAAGAAGTTCGGGCCAAGCGTTGATATGGCAGCTCTACTTTTGTTTTGTATGTTGGGGGTTCTACATAAGCTTTAATAACCACTGTACTGCATCACGCTGCCTTGTTAAAAGTAAAAAAGAATGTTTATCAGAACATTTAGCCTAGAAAATGGTTTTGATAACTGTATATTAAAATGCCAAGAGTCTATTTTACTAAAGTTTTAAGAAGCCATCATTTCTTGCAGCAGCTGTTGGACCTTTTATAGAGACAGAGAGGAAAATAAACAACAAAAAGAACTGTATTAAATAGTTGTTTTGAAATGCACAATTAAGGAAAAAATGACAAACCCACCTCCTTCACTAATTTTAAATAAGTATAAAAAATTAATACCGTCTTAATGTCTGGTCTCTTATTTTTCTTTTCATTCAGACATTGACTGGCAACAGAGTACATAGTTTCAATGGAAGTGAAATCAATGTCATTCATCTTCTTATCAACATAATCTTCAATTGTCTTTTCTTCATCTTCAATTTCTTCTTTAATATCTAGCTGTAAAACAAGTGTTAAAACTTTGAGTTTCAAATGAAAGTGAAAACAATCAGAACATAAATCTTAATTGTTTAGTCTACTTCATAATAATATGTACTCTTTTTTTTTAATATATTTTTATTTATTTCAGAGAGGTAGGGAAAGGGGGAGAGAGAAAAAAACACACATCAATGATAGAGAAACATTGATTGGCTGTCTCCTGCAAGCCTCCTACTGAGGACGGAGCCCACAACCCAGGCATGTGCCCTGACTGGGAATCAAACCCTGACCTCCTGGTTCATAGGTCGATACTCAATCCCTGAGCTACACCAGCTGGGCTGTAATCTTATTTTATTGTCTACTATTAAAACCTTGTTAAGAACGGAAGACATATAGAAGAAACCTTATCTATTTATACATACATACATACATACATACATACATACTGTACCTCCTAGGTACTTTTCATTTGCGGTCTAATTTTTGTGTTTATGCTACTGAGCTAACTGTTGTCATGCTCCCATTTGCAGCACTTACTAGGCTGCCAGCGCAAGGTGGTCTGCTTCTTGATTTGCTCCTGATAACACAGTTCCAACTTCTGAAAACAGACTTTCCTCCCCTCATTCAAACTTTTCTGTAAGTACTCAAACTGTTGAATCAGAGATAGAGGAAGGAGGAAAAGGAAGTCAGAGCCATGGGGAAAAAGTAATGAACAGGGAGAGAGGAATAGGACTAGGATGAGATAGTGGGTGGAGCAGTGGACCCAAAAACATATAGCCAAGTCTTTTTTTTTTTTTTTTAATTGATTTTTTACAGAGAGGAAGAGAGAGGGATAGAGAGTTAGAAACATCGATGAGAGAGAATCATCGATCAGCTGCCTCCTGCACACCCCCCACTGGGGATGTGCCCGCAACCAAGGAACATGTCCTTGACTGGAATTGAACCCGGGACCCTTCACTCCGCAGACCAACGCTCCATCGGCCGAGCCAAACCGGTTTCGGCTATAGCCAAGTCTTAATCCCCAGAACCTGTGAGTGTGGCTGTATTTGGAGGTGGGCCCTAAATCCAATGATGAGCATCTGTATATGAGACAGAAAAAGGAGAAAACAGACATCGAAGAGATGATGATGTGATCACCGAGGCAGAAACCGGAGTGATATGGCTACAGGTCAAGGCATGCCAACAGCACCAGAAGCTGGAAGAGGTAAGGAAAGATTCTCCCCTAGAGACTCCAGAGCAACGTGGCCCTGACAAAACCTTGATTTCAGACTTCTGGCTTCCGGAACTGTGGGAAAACATTTTTTGTCATTTTAAGCCCGAGTGTGCAGAAATTTTTAAAAAATACAATATATATATATTTTATTGATTTTTCGGAGAGGAACAGATAGTTAGAAACATCCATGAGAGAAACATTGACTCAGCTGCCTCCTAAACCCCTCCCTCCCCACTGGGGATGTGCCTGCAACCCATGTACATGTCCTTGACCAGAATCGAACCCGGGACCCCTCAGTCTGCAAGCCGACGTTCTATCCACTGAGCCAAACCTATTTTGGCTAATTTTTTTTTTTTTTAAGGCAGTCCTAGGAAACATACAGATGGCAAAGACTATTTTGTGAGGTGGACTATAAAGTCTCCAGAAACTCTTTCAAAAGAAAAATTTTGAAAATATTTGGGTAATAGCATAATATAGTGCTATGGTTATACTTTCATTAAAATCTTATAACTTTATAGTCATGTCACATTCAAACCTTAAGAATAAGTCACAGAGTATAATCTTTCTTGAAGTATTATGATTTTCACTATTATTTGAGGATTCATAAAACTTGTGACTGAGATGGATTCTATGTCTTTCTGTATTACATCCTTATTCAAAGCAAAATTTCAAGGCTTTTATAATATTTTGAAGGAGAAAAAAAGTCTCAGGTGAAAAGATGAAAAATTTTAGGCCTTTAGACAGGCAGGCCTTGCAAAATGTAAGGTAGCAAACTACTACCTTGTTTTTTAACTGTCCTCTTGCATGATTACTCTACACACTCTCTGCATAATTCAATCCATACCCAAAGCTTTATCTATGCCTATACACAAATGACTCAGAAACTGCATCTCTAGCCTCGGTTTCTTTCCTGACCACCAACCACCAATGAGACAGAGAATTTTAAATTTATGTGTACCATGGTAAAAAGTTCATTATAAAAATAATAACTTTTACAATAATACCATGTTCTCTAAATATGTTTTAATGTGAAGTATTATATAACATGTAATTTTGCATTACTACATACCCAGGAAACCATGGAAAGCTTTATAATGTAACTTTATAATATAAAGTTTTAATCTGTAGGAATATTGTAATAAATATATATTTTATTTCTCATGGTTTTTCTTAAATGACTAAGTACTCAGCTCTTGAGCATATATAGTATATTTTTGACTTTCTAATCCCCTTCTGGGAAAATAATTTGGTAAACATACATTGTCTGAATTTGTCACACTGGTTTGTCCCCTTAGAACACATTAATTAGAATAAAGTCAGTGATGTTATTTAACTAATTTTAAGAAAACCTTATACATGGAAGCAGATATTTCTATAAATCTTCAGTTTTATAAAAAGAGCCTCTAAGTTCTTAATATCTACTATATAGGGAAAAGTGGGGAGTGGCATAATTTTCCCACAGCGTTAGCATTCAGTTAGCCTATTTGTGTAATTGTCAATGAATGTCTAATTATAACACATAGGTGATGTTTTCTATAACTTTATAAATAAAATACTTCATAATATAAATGGATAAAGAATTTTTGCTAGGAATTCTATTCTGATGCAAATTTGAATAGATGAAAGCCATATTGTTTTTCCCCTTAGAGCTGAAAGACTGTTAATAATCACTCTGAAAGTAACAAGTAAAAATATACTGGAGATGACCTCAGAAATCATATAGGTCTATTCTAATTTACTCACAAAGAAACTAGAATACAAAATATATGTGTCTTCCAAGCTTCACAAATACTTCATAGTAGAGCTGAAATTAGGAATATTTGATCCTTTCCATATGCCACCATGTAATTACCAAGAGAAAATGACATTTCTAGATATCAAATTTACCCACATAAATTTATATTACACATGCAAAGAAAAAGGACTCGAGAAAAAAATGAGTCTTTCAATTACCAACAACTGAGGTTCCCGGTGTTCATCCACAGCTGGAAGTCCAGTTATTATTTCTAGTAAAACCTATGAAGAGAAAAAACAACAAATCCATTAATGTCACACTCTAGGCAAAATATAGAAACTAGAAGGTATATAAGTCTTGATTATGAAATCTGGTTAGTCATTTTCACACACTGCATTATGTCTTTTAGGCATCAAGGCAGAAAGAACATGAGCTGTGGTCATTTCTCAACATCCTTTGAAGCTTCACTGACACCATGGATCCCACCCACCCCACAAGCAGTTCTTGCTATTGGCAATTTACTAAACAGTCAGCCCCACTCAACATGTTCTGGACGTACCTTTCCCTGTTTTGCAAAGAAGTCTTCATAAGAATAATTTTCTTTGGCTCTTAGGAGAATATTATTTTCTAAATGTTAGGCACATCCCAAACCCTATACCTTAAGTTCACAGTGCTATGATGTTAAATTTCCATGTATAAAACACACATGAAAAAATAAGGACCTGGAGGGAATTATGCTAAGTGAAATAAACCAGTCAGAGAAAGACAATGCCATACGATCTCACTAATATGTGGAATCTAATGGTGAACTACTCAATTTCCCCAACTACCTCCACTCACTCCTCATTCCATCTTAAGTTATCAGGCATAGATTGGTAGATCAGAGAATGCCAAAGTGTATTTCTTTTAAAAAATACTTCATTTTTAAATATGACACTAAATTACATACTGTATGACATTTATTTTAGGCATTAATTTACGTTTCATACGAATTCATAAGGATAGTGTAGCCAAAAATAATTTCTTGCAGTGATTTCAGAAATCAATATAAAGGCTTTACAAAGATGGAGAAGTTTTTATAACTTTCTCATTTAACTAAAGGTTAAAGTGAAAGTTTACAGAGAGCTATGCAAGGCAGGTGTATTCAAAATATTCTACTTAAATTTCATAATTATTACCAGAATGATTGATTATTGTTATTGATTATATATACTAGTAGCCCTGAGCACAAATCCTCCATAGCTCTCTGCCTGCTGCCCCCCCTCCTGTAGCTCCCTCTGCCTGCCTCCTCTCCTAGTTTGCTGCCTTGCTCCCTCCTATAGCTCTCTGCCTATGCCCCACCCACCTGCTGATCCCTGATCCTGTGGTTACTTCAAGGTGTAACGACCACTTGCATATTACATCTTTATTATATAGGAGGGTATATGAAACTTACCACACCAAAGCTGTAGATGTCAGATTTGGGTGTTATTTCTCCTCGCAAAGCCTCAGGTGCCATATAAGCTGTTGTTCCCACAATTCTGCTAGTCATGATTGTCTGGGAAAACTTCTCAGAAGCCCGTGCAAGCCCAAAGTCAGATATTTTGGCTGTAAAGTCTTCATCTAGTAGGATATTTGCACTGAAAAAATATGTTAAATTTGCAGAGAAAAAAAAATTATTAAAAATTTTTAATGTTGACTATTGCAGATATCCTCCCTTTGCTCACCTCCAGTCACCTCCACATCTACCTCTCTCGGCCTTTACGACACTATTGGCCGTGACCATGGGGTATGCATATATATTTTTTAGATAATCCATTCACCTTCTTTATTCAGTCACCTCACCCCACTTCCTTCCCCTCTGTCACCCGCCAGTCTGTTCTATGTATCCCTATTTCTTGTTTCATTTTGTTCCTCAGTTTACTTTGTCCATTAGATTCCACATGTTAGTGAGATCATACGATATTTGTTTTTCTCTGACTGGTTTATTTCACTCAGCATAAAACTCTCCAGGTCCTTCTCAGGCAAGTCAAATGGTTCCTTAAATAGCTGTGTGAATATATATATGTATGTATGTATTTACAGAGTATAACATGTTATACATCATAAAAGCCTGTGTAAATAAATCTAGATTTCAGATTAAAGCTAAAAAAGAAATGACTGTATATTATTCCCTTTTGTTTTAGAAAAATGTTAAGAAAATAAAATTGAAATAATGCTGATCACATTAGTGAGAGATATTTTCATTATTTTACAAATAAGTTATCACAGGGTCACTTCCCTTAAGGTCTGCTAAAGCACCATTCTTAACTCCTTTTGTAACATTTCTAAATTCATTTAAAAACAAATTTCTAGCTCAAGTATCTCAATTTTTCATTTCTTTTTTCTTTTTTGTACTATCTGAAATCTTTCAAAGAAGAAAGACTAAAGCTAAAATGTCTTCATTCATCATATGCATTCACTCATACATTTACTTTCATTCCACAAAACTTACTGAGGACTCCCTATATATTATAGTATTTAAGCTCAGAGCGGGACATGGAGGAAATCTTCAAATCTTGTCTGTGACAAAGGTATATGCATAAATATTTTTTTAATCCTCACCTGATGATATATTTTTATTGATTTTTAGAGAGAGGGAAGGGAAAGAAACATCAATGTGAGAGAGAAACATTGATTGGTTGCTTCCCTGACATGACCCACCTGGGGATCAAACCCACAACCGAGGTATGTAGTCTGATGGGGAATCAAACCCACATTTTGATGTATGGGAGGACACTCCAACAAGTGAGTCACCTGGCTGTGGCCATGCATAATTTAAAAAAATCCAATAAGTACACCATATTGGTGATATTAGGTACAAAATGCAGAGAGAACAACTATATGAATAAAAGAACTGAAGAAAATTTGAAGGAAAAATGTGCTTAGTCCTGAATAATTATTAGAAATTGATGGTTAAATGAAAGATAGGCATTTCAGTCAAATGGAGCACCATGAAATAGTGATAAAAAACATAAAAACATATGACCAATTTCAATAAACTGGTGTTCAGGCTTGATCTTTTGGGTCATGACCTGACAATGCAGTAGTAAATAAGTAAGTACTGGTACAGACAGGTTAAAGGCTGATCAGGAGGGTTTGTAATAAAATCAACAATAGACAGCCAGGATCTAAGTAAAGGCAGAACCCTGGGGAGAAAAAGGACATCTATAATCTGGGAGTGCTCTAGATTGAGACATGCATGTGTGTAGAAAGAGGGAGGGCAAATTATTTAAAGATGGTTTTTCCAAAAGTAACATTTACCTTTTAATATCTCTATGAATTTGATGGTTTTCATGTAAAAAACTGATGCCATTAGCTGCACCCTGAGAAATCCTGCATCTCAAGTGCCAAGAAAGTGGTGGAGTACCATCCTTGTGAAGTAAAAAAAGAAACAAACCAATTTAAAAAATAGGAGGATAAAAATACCAACAGATAACAGAAAATGTTCCTAAGCAACTTTTAAACAGGGGTTAGCATTTCTCATTTCATAATAGAAATATGTAATATTTTACATTTTAGTATATGTGCTGCCGAAGCGAGCACAATATTTTACATTTTAGATGATCACCTAATAGAATGGTAACCCCTGTTTTTTGCATGACAAATGTATAATTTTCATAGTGCAGGAAAAATATTAAAATTGATGCAGTTTAAATGATTCTGCATTAAGATGTATATCAATATTCAACAGAGAAACAGAAAGCCAAAAATCTGATGAACAAATATCTTACCAGGCAAGACAGTCTGTCTAGTAATGAACCGTTAGGCATGTAAACATATACTAAGCAGAGGTCATCTCCATCACTTGAGAAACCAAGTAGTTCTACTAAGTTTTCATGTTGGCACCTGTGACAAATAATTTTTCACTCAAAATTATTATTATATACATATATATACAGCTGTATGTTGGAAGTTATTCAGTTTAGAGCTTTAATAGAAAAAAAAGATCAAGAAAACAATATGTTTAATATCATAATATGATATATGCTTATATATCTTTCTTATGACTTGATGATCTTCTGCAAACACTTCCCTTTTGATCAACTAAGAAGCAAAACATCTTCCTATTTTATAGTAAAAGTTCAATAATTCAGACCACTGGAACTTGTGATAATTTGGTTAAGGACTAGGCTGATGTGTACTTTTATTTAGCACAATTTTCAATTATAGCACAAATAAGATTTTATGAAATCCATTGAAACCTGTACGAAACCCTGCTCTAACACAGTGGTTGGCAAACTCATTAGTCAACAGAGCCAAATATCAACAGTACAATGATTTAAATTTCTTTTGAGAGCCAAATTTTAAAATTTAAACTTCTTGAGAGAGAGAGAAAATTTAAACTTCTTCTAACACCACTTCTTTAAAATAGACTCGGCCAGGCTGTGGTATTTTGTGAAAGAGCCACACTCAAGTGGCCAAAGAGCTGCATGTGGCTCGCGAGCCGCAGTTTGCCGACCACAGCTCTAACACATCCAAAGCACTACTGATTTACAGACATCTGGTCTTTAATCACATCTAATCTACACATTTCTGATATTTCATCATATCTGATTATTTGTAACCTAACTTGAGTTTCTTTATATATGTGCCAGTAAAAAAAACTAAAGAGAGCTCAAGTGTAACAAAACTGCAGACATATGCGATACAGCAGAAAGAAAACTGGACTCAGTGTTCAGTGTTAAGTTTAAAGTCCAGCTCTGCCACCTCCTGGATACATGAACTATAGCAAATTAACAACTCACCAAGTCTTAGCAAATTTGCCTGCTGAAAGTGGATAATAATAACTATGTAACATGGATGCTGTGAGAATTAAATGAGCAAATATATGAGAGCCTTCACAGGTACCTAGAACATGATAAATATTCCATCCTTTGCTTAATCATTTGTTCATTCAAATTGATCTATAATTCTAGCATTTCGTTATTTCAAATCAGAGTTTGGTTTTAAATCAGTCTATCCTCAAAAATATTTTATAAAGTGCAAATTAAAATGACAAATTCTCCATGTTCCAACAAATGAGCACATTTTAGAAATGAGTAGATAACATATGCTGAGTTTATACTGTAGGCACTATAGTAAATAATTTACCTGCTTTGTTTATTTATTCCTTACAATAACATAATGAAGAAAGAACTATTATATTTTACTTTATAGATGAGAAAACTAATGGATATAGAGTTAAGAAATGTGGCTAAGGTTATTCTTCTAGTAATGTCCAGAGATTGGTACTTATTAAAAAATAGTAATAATGTTCAATAATGGTGAGGTAGCAGTGAGGTTTGAATTGTAATACATTGCTGATAAGAGAATTAATTATCATAACATATGTAAGGCCATTTGGACATATACTTGGAAAGTCTTTAAAAAGTTCATGAATTCTGAACTATAATTCTTCTAGGACTCTATCCTGATGAAATAAGCAGAGTTGCATTTGAAGATTTATGTACAAAGAGATTTAAAGGAGCTTTAATTCGTAATATTGAAAATCAAATAAACCTACTAGGGCAAACTCATTAGTCAACAGAACCAAATATCAATAGTACAACAACTGAAATTTCTTTTGAGAGCCAAATTTTTAAAATTTAAAC